GAGATGCGCCGCTGTCCCGCTGCCTGCGTCCTCCGCGGCGAGAAAAGCCGCTCCGCGTCTCCCTGGTCTGCTGGGGGGGGCACTAGCTCCACGTCTCCCTGGTCTGCTGGGGGGAAGCGCCCCCTGCGCCGCCGGAGGCGGCGACAGTGGGGGAGGCACCCCGCACTAGCTGCACCCCTTCCCCCCCGTTTGTAACTAGGGGTCCGACTTAAGTCGGATTGACCTAACCCAGGGACTGCCTGTACTGCAAATTACAGCAGATATCCCTAAGTCCTATAATAATACATTTAAGTGAGAATGAAGTGGGCTCCCAATGTAACAAAAACTACATTAAAGAAATCTTAGTCCTTTTTTACAATGATATGGATAATGCTGCACTTAATTAAAAATGGATTTTCATATTTAAGATTGAAAAGCCCCAATTCTAGAGAAAGCCATTTAAACAGTTGAACTGGCAGATCACACAAATGATATGAAGGAGATATTCAAAGGTAACCATTTAGGTGTCCAACTCCCAACGATGTAACCGCAAGAAAAAGGTGTGAAATTATGTTTTAATACACTTTTTGCACAACTACATTACCAGATTCACAACTTATCAAGACACCCACCTAGCTTTTTGTTCCTCTGGTCTCTCTGGTTCATTTTCATCTGTCAAAAGAAAAACATTATTTAAATATTATGTATGAGAAACCCTAGAGTCAAAAATAGCAGTTTATTGCAAGCTTATCTTATACCAAATAACTTTATTTAAGCAATGATCCCTGAATAAATTTGTGGGCTCTCCAGTCCTGAGTTAGATATATGTGCTAAGACATCTGACCCAAGACAGCACCCCCTTAAGCCAACAGAGCTCTACAAATAGACCCTTACAGTATCAGTGTTTTAGTTTGCAGGCAACAGTAATGTGGTTAGGGTACAAAATTGGTATGTCTACACTGCAGCTGGCAACAATGGCCCACTCAGGGAAAACAAATTCATCCTAGTGAGGTGCAAGGTAGCACTCTTAAAACAGAAGTATTGATGGTGTAGCTTGGACTGCATCTTAGACTCACAAGACCAGTTCATATTCCTAATGTCAGCATGCTAGCTGAAGCCCCACTAATGAGAGTGTCTACCCAGGCTGGAAACTCACTCCCAGTGGCAGATTAGACATACCCACCGAAGTGAAGCTCCATAGTTTCAAACAAACAAAAGAGAAAGATTACAGTATTTCAAATGTGATTATGTATGTGAAAATTTAAGGGCCTAAGAATATTAAAATAATTTTAAGATAATTTATATGAAAGGCATAACAGAAAACAAGGTGTTGATCTTGCTATCTTTATTCATGAAAGCAATCATGGATTTTGGTGGAACTAATGAGATGAATGAGAGGCCAATCCTGCAGCCCTAAATGTAAACTCAGTATTCCGTATCAATCACATCTCAGAATTTTCTCAAAGTGTTGGAGACACTACTACCTGTCAGAAAATAAAATACCGTTTGATACACAAACATGCTTTTGATCAGTCATTATATTCTAACCTTCCAGTCCAAAACGAGTGGATTTGGTACAAATTATAGACTGAAGCACAATAGGAACCCAGTGTCCAATCAGCCTTTTCCTCCTAGTTCTAAGTAATTCTACAGAATGGGAAATTACACTTGGAAGTACACATTTTAAATCTTTGGTATGTCAAAGGAGTCTCTCACCTCTAGATCTAGGTAGGAGCTAAATAGGATGGTGATGGAAAATTTACAAGGCCAGAAAGAAAGACTCATGGACCTTTTAAAGGGGGCCGCATTTGTGGGAGCACATAACCAGCCAGGAGCTGCCTGAGGCTTATGGCGGAAGGGGGGTGGCCGGATAATGGAGAGCTGAAAACCCAGGAGGTCAAGCGAAAGGAGGGGACCAGGCAGAGATGGGGCGGGGAGCAGAGAGCCGCAGGCCTGGGGATCACTGCAGTCACACTGGAGCCCGGGGGTGCGCCGTGACCAGCCTCCAGCCCGGCCACACTAGCGCAGGTGGTTCCCGCACCAACAGGCCAGGCCGGCAGCCCCCGGCGCGGCTCCTGGGGGGGATGGGCAC